TATTGTATACCTAACGTGTACCAATTAATATATAAATATAAATAAATAAATAAATAAAATAAAAAATAAAAGCATTTGGGGACAAGAAGAATGCACTGTCCCTGAAAAATAAAGAATGACATGGATGGTGAAGAAGGTATAAATCAATAGAATACAATCATTTTCCTTCTTTCTAAGCTAAACTGAAACTGTACTTTCTTGATTAAAAAAGACAAAAGGACATGTTCATTTCCTTCACAGAAAGGGGAGATGGGGGGGGAGGGAGGAAGGAAGGAAGGAAGGAAAAGAAGAAAGAAAGAGAAGAAAGAAAGGTCAAAGAAAAGATGAAGTAAACCAAACCACCATAAGTGGTTTTATATTTTGTGCACTGCTTGAATAGACCTGCCCAAGGGGGTATTTGGGGTTGGAAATCTAAGCTCTGTTTGCCTATCTGGATTCCACGTTTTTGTGGTGCAGGGCTGAGCTAGATCAGAGAGATTCCACTTCCCCCATGAACGCCTTCTTCTAATTTATCCACTTGGAAAGAACATTGTTTCTAATGTATAAAAGGCTGACTGTGGCCTGATGAAAAACCACATTCTTCATGGTGTGCATTTTCTGTTTAAATGTAATATTGTAGGTGCAATTTCTTATATACTTCATTCATTCAGCAAGTATTTACTGAGTCCCTTGGCTATGCCAGACACTGATATAGCCGTGAACAATACAGAGTCTGACCGCAAGGAAATTTTAGTCTCTAGACCATGAAGATGGTAACCAGATTGCACTGCAGTGACTTTTACCCATTGTGGTGTTCCTCTGTTCCTAAAGCTACATGACTATTAAAACTAAAGCTGACAAAATTTGATCACATAGGAGTCTGGAAGGAGCTAATCTCCAGAACAAAACAGATTCTCCCATGTAAAAACATGCTCCAACAAGCAACATTTCTCTCCATGAACTTTATTCAGCTATTCAGAAAACATTGTGCATCCCTGGAATATAAGAAATTGTAAAATTTTTCTATTAATTTTGTTAATAGAAATTTTGTTAGTATATGACCTAGAGCAGGTCATATACTGTGCCTCTGTTTCTCCTTTGTAACATATGGATTACAATGCATTTGCCTTAAAATTATTAAGAAGATTAAATGAAATAAATTATATAAAGCGACAAAATACACTAATAAATATTCTATATAATCTTCATCCTTTTAAAAGTCTGCAAATATAAAGTTGCTGGCAATTTTGAATTTTATGATTTAGGTTGTTTCAGGTTTGTTTTTTGTTTTGTTTTTGCATTTATATTCTCCTTTGGTTATTTTCACAATTCTCAAAAAAATTACTTACTTCACAAATCTTGTATAAGGACCACGTAATTGAAGGATGATTTTCTGAATCTGAAAAGAATACAAAGGGAGTAAAAAAAATAATGATTCTGAAGTCCTAGAGTCCAGAGCTCAAACTTGCCTCTGCTGACCTCTATTTTGGCATACCTGGCACTTGGATCCATTTGAGAATTTCATATTATATATATTCCTTTCTCTCCCTGAAAGGCTATTGTTAAGTCAATAATGTTTGGCTATTGTTTTTTCTTTTGAGGTTTTAGAGAAAAATGCCTTGTTTTATTTTTACAATTTACATTGTTTTAGTATTTAGGAAATACAGTAAATTTCATAATTGTAAACAATTTATTTAAATTACTATTCCTTCATTTATAAACTTATTTTACTCATAAACCTATCTCTTAAGGTTGATATAATGAGTGCATGAAAGAATGCATATAAAGCACCAGCCATTGTACCTGCCATGATTTATACATGCTATTCATTAATAATATGTATCTGCATTTTCATTGGGAGGTTGACATATAAATAGGTCCCCTTACTCTGCAGTAAACAATGAACCAGAAGGGTCTGTGATTGGGGTGGTCATTTTGCTAACTTCTTTTAAAAGAGGGAAATATACCACAATGTTACATGGGTCAAATGTTGGTATTTATATATAATACAAGATTTATGTAGAATGATGGCTATTTTGACAGGATGAGGGTAAAATCTCTTGAGAATGCACAGATAAACTTCCTGGAAATATTTTGTGGAAATTGTCCTCAAGGAAGTGATTTTTATACTGAGACTTGGAGGATGGGCAGAAGCTATCCAGGTTAGTACAGGGGAATGAGACCTGCAATCAAGACAAACTAGATAAGTCAAGTCCTCGAGGTGAGATAAAGATTTATGTTGGGGATGGATGGATGGATGGATGGATGGATATTTGAGAGATTATTTGAATAGATTTTTCTGAGGTTCTATCAAATTACAAAAGTATTATGACACTATTAAATATATTTTTAAATATAATTAATCACCTACATTTCAAAAAGTCAACAAAAAAACCTATCATAATTTTAAGTCAAAAGATAACACTGAAAGGTTTCAAATGAAGTAATAAGTAGCAGAATCAGGAACAGAAGTTCTTCCCAAATAACAAGTTCCCTGTAGATGCAGTCCATGGGCAGTTTGTTCATTTGTCTGTAATATGTGACCTCTGAACATATTTGGCATGCATATACTGAAAGTCTAATTAGTCAACTGTGCTGATTAGCATCATACCTGGCTACTTCTTTTATGACAGAAACTAAATCCATTCTAAAATCAACATTTTCTGGTGAACAAAGAATTCTAGATTCATCCTTACAGGAAGAAGAGAGCTATTTTACCATACAGAGAATCTTCATTTACTGTCATCATACTGAGATTCTGATGATACTGTCAGATATCAAATTAAATACTGACTGCAGGCAGGAATGGTATGAAAAATGTGTAACAAATGATACTGCAAGTACAGGCACTAACTATTCAGAACAGATGCCATGGCCTACCAGAAGGATGCTTCAAAACATCAGAATAAACACCAGCGTAAAGAACCAGTCCCATGCACCATATAAGGTAGAAACATCAGCCCTTCTCACATGTCCTTAGAGATATGGAGTATAGATATGTTTAAAGGACAAAGTGACATTGGTAAGAGGAAAGAGGACCATAGAACTTGGCTACAATATAAGAAGTGTCTTCTGGGCAGAGGAGGAGGCTTCTGGGTCAATGTACCACCACTTCCAGCACAGAGGAGGCTTCCAGGTTGATGTGCCACCACTCCCAGAACAGAGGAGGTAAGACCCTAGGGAGCCAGCAGTACCCCCACCCCGCCCCATTGAAATGAGAAGACACTTAAACAAGCCTCAAAACCAGACTTCCAGATCACCTACAGCAACCCCAAAGGGAAACGAGATGAAACACTCTGATACTAAACCACCTGAACTCCCTGAACTAGCAATGAAAGAGGATCTGGAAAAAAATGACATAAAACATAATTTCCCAGATAACAGCAGAGATTGTGCCCATAGTGCAAGACATGACTAATGAATCTAGAGAGGACACAGATAAAAAAATAGATGAGCTGAGGAACATGATGGAATCCCAGCATACGAAACAAATGGAATCCATAAAACAGACACCAACAGATTTCCAGGACACTAAAAACGCCACTGAAAGTCTACACAGCAGAATGAGCCACTATGAGGACAGAATTTCAGATGTAGAAGATAAGATTGCAATTAGTGACCAGGAAAAGAAAAATTGCTTAAAAATTGTAAGGGACCACAAGAAATCAATCCAGCAGCTGCTAGATGATGCAAAGAAGAATAACATAAGACTGAATGGAGTCAATGAAGAAACAGGAAAGAGTACAGAAGACATAAAAAATTGTTCACAGAAGTGATGGCAGAAAACTTCCCAAGCAGGGGAAAAGAACTTGACAAACAGATAAGTGAGGCATATAGGATGCCAACTAGCCTTGATCAAAAAGTCTACACATAGGCATATAAATGTTAAGATTCCAGAAACCCAACAGAAGAACAAAGTGCTACAAGCAGTGAGAGAAAAAAACAAATCACATACAAAGGAAAGCCCATCAGAATCACAGCAGACTTCTGAACAAAAACCCTCAAGGCAAGAAGAGCTTGGAGTGACATAATTCAGGCCCTAAAGGAAAAGAGCCTCCAACCCAGATTTATGTACCCTGCAAAACTATCTTTCAAAATTGATGGAGAAATAAGATACTTTCATGACAAAGAGCACCAGAGGAACTTCATGAACACCAAACCAGCACTGCAAAAAATTTTAGACAAAATTCTAGGAAAAAACAATGAGGATCATAACCCCAGGAAGCCCAGCAGAATGAACCCATCAGGCACAACAAGAAATGAAATGCAAAGGGGGAGAATCCAACAAAAAGAAAAAGTCAATGATAAGTCAATACGTATCAGTTATAACCATCAATGTTAATGATAAGTCAATTTGCATCAGTTATAACCACAAATGGTAATGGTCTCAACTCACAAATCAAAAGAAATAGACTGTCAGAATGGGTCAAGAAGCAACATCCAACAAAATGCTTCATACAAGAAACACACTTAATTAAAAAAGAAACTCATAGTGAAAGTGAAAGGGTGGAAAACAATGCTCCACGTGAAAGAAACCAAAAAAAACCAGGAGTAGCTATCCTCTTTGCAGCTCAAGTGGATTTCATGCCAACACTGATTAAGACAGACAAATAAGGACACTACATCCTTGTAAAGGGAACAATCCAAGAGGAAGAGATGACAATCATAAATATCTATGCACCAAACACTAGTGTGTCCAACTATATAAAACAAATACTAATAAACATGAAAAATCAAAAAGCCTTAATACAATAGTAGTGGGGGACCTCAATACCCCACTGTCACAAATAGATAGACCAACTAGACAAAAAACAAGCAAGGAAATACTAGAACTCGATCAAATTCTTGAAGAAATGAACTTAACAGATGTTTACACAGTGTTCCACCCCACAAAATCAGAATACACATTCCTTTCAGCTGCACATGGGCCATTCTCCAAAATAGATCACATACTCACTCATAGAACATATTTAGGTAAGTGCAAAAAAAATGAAGTTATTCCCTGTATATTATCAGACCATGGTGTGATGAAATTGGAGATCAACAGCAAAAGAAACTGCGAAAACTTCATAAACACATGGAAAGTGAACAACACACTTCTGAATAACCAATGGATCACAGAAGAAATTAAACAAGAAATCAGATAGTTCCTTCAAATGAATGACAATGACATTACAACATATCGGAATCTATGTGACACAATGAAAGCAGTCTTACAAGGGAAATTCATAGCAGTGAATAATCATAGTAGGAAAATAGAGTGAGCCCAATTACACAACTTGATGATAAACCATAAGCCTCTAGAAAAAGAAGAGCACAACAAACCCAAACCTCATACAAGGAAGGAAATTTTAAAGATCAGAGCAGAAATCAATGCAATGGAGACTAACAACGATAAAAAAAATCAATAAAGCAAAGAGTTGGTTCTTTGAAAAAATAAACAAAATTCACAATCCCTTAGCAAATCTTATCAGAAAAATGAAAAAGGCCCAAATCCATGCAATTAGTAATGAAAATGATGAAATTACAACAGACTCAGTAGAAATCCAGAGAATCATCAATATCTACTTCCAGAACCTATACGCCAATAAGATGGAAAACACAGAAGAAATGGACAGATTCCTAGACATGTATGAATTACCAAAGTTGAACGAAGAAGACCTAAAAATTCTAAACAACCCAATATCAATCAATGAAATTGAAAATGTAATTAAAAACTTACCAACCAAGAAAAGCCCGGATCCTGATGGCTTCACTGCTCAATTCTACAAGACATTTAAAGAGGAACTACTGCCACTACTGTTTAAACTCTTCAACGAAATTGAAAGGGAATCAATACTCCCAAAATCATTCCTGGAAGCAAGCATCACCTTGATTCCCAAAGTAGAGAAAGACCCAACTGAAAAAGAGAACTATAGGTCAATCTCACTAATGAACATACATGCAAAAATCCTTAATAAGATACTGGCAAACAGAATGCAGAGGATCATCAAGAAGATCATACACCCTGACCAAATGGGACTCATTCCACGGATCTAGGGATGGTTCAACATCCACAAATTAATCAATGTAATGCACTATATCAATAGAGTCAAGGACAAAAACCATATGATCATCTCAATAGATGCAGAAAAAGCATTGGACAAAATCCAACATGCATTTATGATAAAAACCCTACAAAAAATCGGAATGGATGATCTCTACCTCAAGCTAATAAAATCCATCTATGAAAAACCAACAGCCAATATCATACTAAATGGCCAAAAACCTAAATCCTTCACACTCAAATCAGGAACAAGACAAGGATGTCCACTATCACCACTCCTGTTCAATACTTTTGGAAACATTAGCCATAGCAATTAGACAAGAGAAAGAAATAAAAGGAATAAAGATAGGAAA